CCCTCTGCCCCTCCAGGGGTGGGAAGGCCGATGGAAGGTGGGGAGAGCGCCCGCCCGGTGCAGTGCGAGGCGGCCATGGGCCAGGCAGCCTGAGCCACGCCCCCTCCGCTCGGCTGGGCCCAGCCTTTCCTCCGAGAGGAGAAAGCGCCAAGCCCCTCAGCGAGGCTCTCGGGCTATAAATTCGGGCGCCGCCACTTCTTGGCAAGGGGGCCGCTACCTGGCTCCACTCCGCCCAGGGGGCCGCCAGGGAAGGTCTGCAGGGGCCCGGGCACAGCCCTCGGCACCAAAGGAAATGCGATTGCCCATTCATCCATGCCCGGCAGACAGTCTGGGGACCCGCACAGGGAACCTGGGCAGCACGGACCCCCCCACCAGACACCGCCCGGCTCGCCCACCCCAGCACAGCGCTCAGCGGCCCCCAGCACCCAGCCCTGCCCGGGGCCGGCGCTGCCTGCCGACACTGCGCCATCACTGACCCCGAACTCAGCCGCCATCGGGGATCGGTGTCCCCAGTTTCAACAGGAAAGGCTCCCAGCCACCGGGCTGCCCTTGGGGCCAGAGGCCTCTCGCCCAGAGTCTGGGAGGAGGTGGGGGGCACAGGTGGTGCAGGACAGTTATCCAAGGGGCAGGGTCACAGGTCACAGGATCCCTTCAGATCACACAGAGGGCGGGGCCTCTAGCTGGGGGGCAGCCCAGGGGAGGGCGGGGCCTTGACCTCTGACCCTGAGCCTCAATCCTGCCTGGACAGCAGGCCCCAGGGGGCTGGGGCAGGTAGGGTGAGCCCCCGCCCTCCACGCCCGAGGGCCGCTCCCGGTGTCTCCTGCCGGGATTGTCATGAAAGGCCCCCCCCCCCTCACCCGGCTCCGAGGCCGCGGCCGCGCTGGGAGAGCCCACGGCCCACTGTGCACAGAGCAGCCCGGGCACAGGCCATCCCCGAGGACAGAGGCGCCTTTGTGGGTGGGGGCGGGGGGGCAAACCTGGTCATTAAACGATTCGCCAGCAACACGAATGCCCCTCGGGCCAGCCGCTGGCTCCCTGAGCTGGGAAAGCAGCTGGGCCTCTTTCCCCAACCCCAGCGGGGAGCAGACTGTCTGCGAACCCCCCTGCCCCCCCACAGGGCCCAGGCCCAGCCAGCGCAGGAGCGGCCGAGCAGCCTCGTGTCCCAGCGCCTGTCGTGGGCAGGGCAGACTGAGGCCAGAGGGTCAGAGGGGTGCGGGCTCCATGTGGGGTGCCTGCCTTGATGTGGGGTGCCTGTCATGATGTGGGGTGCCTGCCTCGATGTGGGGTGCCTGTCATGATGTGGGGTGCCTGCCTCCATGTGGGGTGCCTGCCTCCATGTGGGTGCCTGCCTCCATGTGGGGTGCCTGCCTCCATGTGGGGTGCCTGTCACAATAGTCGGTGGCCTGTTGTTGGAGTCAAAGCCACCGCCCCCTCCATCCCACCCCCGGGCGGTCTCCACCCCCTGGGCCGGCTCTTGCGAGGCAAGGGGCTCTTGGGAGATTGGGGGGGCTGTCCTCAAAGGAGGGGTGCAGTGCAGCCGATGGGGCGTGTGCAAAGCCCGCGGCCACTCTGTCCACACCGGTGGGGAGCAGAGCAGAAGGGAGCGAGGGGCCTGGCGAGTGCCCCCCGCCCCCCCGGGGAGCAGAGAGCCAGGTCCCAGGCGGCCGTGCCCAGGGCGGGGCTCCCAGACGAGCAGCAGTGCCCAGGCCTGGCCGGGCAAGTGGCCAAGGGCAGCCCTGCCCCAGCCGCCGGGGTCAGGCCGCACCCTCAGGGCCTGGGTGGCACCCAGAGCCCGGGCGCTGCTTCCTCCCCATTAACCAACAACCCGGGTCAGAAACAGGGTGGCCCTGAGCCAACGCCAGGCCTGGCCACCTCCTGCTCGCAGCTCCTGCCCCCACCCCACCCCCACCCCCCACCCCCCGCTTCCTGAGGAACCGAGGCTCCTTCTAAAGGCGGACCCACTAGGCACACGTGGGCCTGGGTGTGCAGGCGCGGGGCCCACTCAGGACTTCCCTGCTGGTGTGGGGCGGCCGGAGGGGCAGGCCACCCACTCCCCAGGCCCCTGCCAGGCGGCCCAGAGCCGCCCTCCTGGTTCCAGGTCCTTCCAACCCGGCGTCCCGTCCGGAGAGGGAGGCTGAGGACCGGGAACTGCTGCTGGCCCTCCTGAGCCCACCCAACCCCCCACCCCAGCACCCAGCCCGGGGCCCCCACCGACTCCCTCCCCGCGCTCTGCTCCTGGCTCCTCTGGCTCCCATCTGGGAGGCCACCCAACCACCGGCCTGGCCCTCCCCACACCTTCCGCAGCCCACGGCACGCCCCCTCCGGGAAGCCCTCGGGGCACCAGCACTGAGCCCTGACCGCTCACGGGGTCCTGGGAGCCAGAGTCCCGGAACCGCCTCAGAGACTCGCCCAACCTGCCATTTCCCCGGTGAGGACACTGAGGCCCAGAGGGAACCAGAGCCAGAGCTCCTCAACCAAGAAGGCGCTGGAGGCGGCCCAGGCTCCGCTCAGGCTGCCCCCCACCCAACGGGCAGGCGGGACCAGGCAGGAGCCGGGACTGGTGGCCCTGCCGGGACTCAGCGCAGAAGAGAGCTTTGCTGAGAGGTGTGCTGGCGCCGGCGCCAGTGCCAGTGCCAGCGCCAGCACTGAGAAGGGCGCTCGCCCGCAGAGGGGGGCGCACCTGCCGGCTCCCTCTGCAGCCCACGGTACGGCCCGTGCACAGGTGACGAAGCCGTTTCCAGCCACGCACACCTCTCCTGGTCCGTCTGATATGACACGTGCCCTGACAGGACCCCCGAGCCCACACGGGACAGGGCATCCCCGGGTCACCCCCAGAACAAGGCCAGCACCAGCCACTGTCCCCGCCGTTCCCACGCCCCGCAGGCCAGGCCCTCAGGGAAGCACCATGCGCGGACGCCTGGAACCTGCGGAAGCCGCTACTGTACCCCCAGCTGGGCATCCGGGCGCAGGGTGGCAGCCTGGGTCCCAGGCGCAGCCACAAGCCCTGAAGCCCACCCTGGACCAACTGCCTGGGCCTGGCTGCCCCGGGCTGGGGGGCAGGCGGGGCTCTGCACGGGGCTCGCCCAGGGCACCCCCACCCTGCACCCCGCACCCCCACCTCCAAGCTGCCCACACAGGCCCCATGTGCTCAGGCAGAAAGCCCCCACTGGGATGTGGGAGGTGGAGCAAAGCCCCGCAGGCAGGCCGTCTGGAAGGGGGAGCCCTGGGAGGGGGGCGACGGCTCTTCCCGGGGCTCCCTCCCCCTCTGCTCACCACCATCGACGAGCAGATCCCTCTCCCGCGCCCCTCGCTTTTGTTCAAATGAGAGAATTTGGGGGAACCAGAAAAAACATGGTTTTTATTTTCAAAACTGGAATTGATTATAATTGGGGGTTAAATATCCCCAGAGCGCTGGGGTCCAGGCCCAGGACAGAGTGGCGGGGGGGGGGGGGGGGGGGCCCGCTGCCGGGGGTTGGGGCCGGAGGGAGGAGAGGACGGGGCTGCCCTGCCGGAGCCTGACCCCCACACAGTCCCTCACACCCGCCCTCACACCCCAGAGCGGCTCGGGCCTGTGGCTCAGCGCGGCTCCTGGACAGGCAGGCGAGGAGGCCCGTGTGGAGCGGGCCCCAGGGTGTCCCTGCCGCTTCTCCGAGGACGTGACCAAGGACAGGCGGCGCTCCGGAGCCCCTCCCCCCCGACCAGGGACCGCAGCACAGGCACCTCTGTGTTGCTGGCTGTCCAGGCGCAGCCGGGTCCCAGGCCCGCCCAGGGCTGGGGTTTCTGGATGAAACCGAGTCAAGCAGCAGGAATGAGCCGGAAGGTCCTCAGAGCATTTCTCCACACCCACCTGTCACCCCAAAGACAGACTCCGAGAAGAGGCCCCCATCCCGCCGGGACCCCAGCCTGCGCCATCGGGGGTGGGGGGGGGGGGTCGCCTGTGGCCAGCCCTCAGACAGGCGCGGGGACTAAACCACCAGGAGGCCTGGCTGAGGCAGCCCCCCGACACAGAGCCCCCGGCACAGGACAGAACCGCCCGGGGAGCCCCCCTTTCCAACAGGCGTGGGCACCCCTGGCTGCCGGCACCCTCCCAGCACCTCCCGGGACCCTGGCCCTCAGCGGGCACGGCGGGCAGGCACCGCATGTGAACACGCAGGGAGCAGCCACAGTGGAGGCTCCCCCCTCGAGCGGGGGACCTCCCGCTCCCCACGATTTCCTGATCCCCCGGTTGCCTGCTGGGCGCTGGGAGCGTGGACGCTCCTCTCAGGATGTCTGCCCAGCGTCCACCCGGAAGGAGCCCCAGCGGCTCCCAGAAGCAAGTTCAAAGCCCGGGAACCCGGCCAGGAGCGTGGTCTGCGGAGCTGCGGGCGGCGGGGCTCTGCGCCCCGTTCCCCGGGCCCCAGCGAACTGCCCCCCCCTGCAGCCGGGGAAGCAGCAGGAAGCGAGACCCGAGCCAGCCCCGCCCCAGCACGCGGCGTCACGGTGAGTGGGGTGCTCCGACAGCTCTTCATGCGCGTGCGCCCACAAAAACGCCGTCCCCCCACGCTCGCTGTGAGCCCGTCCGCACCTGAGTGCCCCCCAACGTTCCCCCAAATGCTGACTTCCTCGGGCGTCAGGCCTCAGCATCTCGTGCGCCACCGTTTCCTACACCCACCGCCCAGGCAGGACCCCCGGGCCCTCACCCTCCGACATTAAGGACACGGAGGCTCCGGCGAGGCAAGCGGCAGCTCAGAGACCCGGGCCGAGCCCGTCCTGACCCGCCCACGACCCCGCCCGCCCCTGCCCTCTCTGCACCTGCTGCCCCACCCACAGAGGCACGGTCGAACAGGGGGCCCTACGTTATGGGGTGCAGAGGCATCTCAGTCACCCCCTCCTCTCACGACCTCGGGTGGGCTGTGGGGCGCGGGGGTGGGCATTGCAGAATGACAGTCACCCAGGGTCTCCCCCACACTGTGCCCCCCGCCCACGGCCGAGCCCAGGAGCCTGGCGGAGGCTGCACTCACCGTGCTGGCAGCGGGCACCCTGGAAGCCTGGGGGACAGCGGCACAGCTGGGCGGAGCCGGGCACGCAGCTGCCACCGTTGAAACAGAGGCCAGCACTGCACTCGGCTGTGGAGAGAGGAGAGGAGGCCCGTGAGCCCACCTGCCAGGACCCAGTCCCTGGGGGGCCCTCCCCCCATGAAGCTCACCCATGGGAAGAGGTTTCAGGCGTGGAAGGGACCCAGACCTCCCCCCACCCCCAAACGTGGGAGGTCACGGTCCCAGCTCTGCTGCCCTGGCTCACACACTGCCCCCCCCCCCATGGCCACATGTGGTCAAGGTTCACGGACCCTCTGGACGGTTTCCCACCACAGCACCTCCCGACGGACCAAAGCCCTTAGCGGGGAAACAGCTCATTTCACGCTCCCCCCACCCCCAGCCACTGGCCCTGAGAGCAGCCACTACCCCACCTTCATCACCACCATGTTCCTCAGCGACTCTTAGAAGGTGTGGGATAAATGTTGTTGAATGAGTGAATGAATGAATAAGCGAATGAGTGACTGAGTGAGTGAACGAGTGCATGACTGAATAAATGAATGAGTGAATGAGAGAATGAATGAGTGAATGAATGAGTGACTGAGTGAATGAATGAATAAGTGAATGAATGAATAAATGAGTGAGGGAATGAATGAATGAAGGGATGAATGAATGAGTGAATGAATGAGTGAGGGAATGAACGAACAGCTAAACAGCAGGCAAGGCGGCAGTGAGTCATTTGCCGAAGCTCTGGGCAGGCAGGAGCCCATGGTGCGGACGAGGATGCTCCGGGCAGCAGGCCCACACCCACGGGAAGGAAAGCAGAGACGCACAGAGCTGTGCCCCAGAGCAGACAGGTGCGGGCGCCGGGCCAGGCTGAGGCGGCGGGGCTGCCAGCGAGAGTGACACACGTGTGGACGCGCCAGCTCTGCCAATTCCCACACTGGGCGGGGAGGACGCGTCCAGATGGAAAAGGAACAGTGAGCAGGGGCAGAAAGGCAGGGGGCAGCCTCCTGGCGACTCCTTCCCGCAGAGCCGCCAGGGCAGGCAGGACCAGGGCTGGTGACTGCAGTGCCGAGGCCACAGGCGCGGTGGGTGGGCTGCGTCCAGGGGCTCAGGGGGGCAGGTGGCAGAGACCACACAGCCCCGCCCAGGTGCCCGCAGCCTCACACTGTCCGCTCCCTCTTCCCCAGGCAGGGGCGAGGCCCACCCTCCAGTCATGGGGGGCACCCGGGCCCTGGACAGGGGGCAGCGTTCCCAGAGCCCATGGGGCCAGCGCCACATGCCTCCTACTCGTCCTTCTCCGTAGAATCCCCGCTGACTGGCACGTCATTTACCCTCCTCCCCTCCTGCCCCTCCCATAGGACAGGAGGCCTGAGGACCAGGGCGCTGGTCTCTGCTCACTGCCGCCCTCCCACGCCTGAGCACGGCGCCCGCACAGCAGCCCCCGTGGACGTCTGCGGGAGGCATCACCTGGGCCAGCACCTCCCAGATGCGCTTTAGGGACACTGTTACTGTTCGGACCCTGTTGTTACCATTCCCTCCTTTCTTTTTAAAGAATCCATTGGAAAACACTACAGAGTCTGTCTCAGGAATCCACGGTGCTCATTAGCACAACAAAGGCTCTGAGAAGTCCTGCAAAGGGAACTGCTTAATGGAGCTTAACTGTGCTGCGGGAGTGCTTCCTGGACTGCAGGTCCCCTCCCCAGGGCTCCTCGCACCCCTGGAGCTGCCTCCCTTCCGCGGCCTCCTGGATGGGCTGAGCCCAGCCGCACGAGAGTTAGGGCTGTGTCCATCCCAGGGTCTGCGTGCGGGGCCTGGGGGTACAGCTGCTCCCCCTTATCTTTCGAGGAGGGGGAGCCAGGACCCAGGGCTACTATGGCTGAAACATCATGAGGGTCCAGGCAAAATCTCTTATCCAGCCTCATCAGCATGGCTCAGGGGTTGAGCATCGACCTATGAACCGGGAGGTCAGGGTTCGATTCCCAGTCAGGGCACCTGCCTGGGTTGCAGCTTGATCCCCAGTGTGGGGTGTGTAGGAGGCAGCCAATCGGTGATTCTCTCTCATCATTGATGTTTCTTTCTCTCTCCCTCTCCCTTCCTCTCTGACATCAATAAAAACATTTTTAAAAAGCCGTTAGCCGACTGGGATAGAGGTGGCAGAGAGCCGCTGAGCAGGAAAATTCGAACCCCGACAGCAGAGGGTCGGAGCCCGGCTGCCCCAGGCGTGTGCGCGAGGCCACTGGGCTCCGGAGAGCCAGCACTTTCCCTCTCGGGTCGCCTCCCGGTCACCAGGCCGTGAGTGGGTCTCCGAGGAATCCCGACACCATTACGAGCTTCCTGCCATTCTCTCCTCGGGCCCCAGGCCTGCTGCTCGGCCCTGCACAAGTGCCACGGCCCCGGCATCATCGCGCACGCGCCTGCGTCTCCCGGTCCCGTGGACGCAGGAAGCCCACGTGGCAGGAGCAGGGGGACGGGCAGCAGGTGTCAGCTGCTCCTGGGCCACCCCCGCCTGCCCCAGCCTGACCACCAGGGAGCCTGGCCTTGGACAGAGAAAAGGTTCTGGAAGGGCTGGAGGGATGATGGAGAGGCGAGGCGAGGGGCAGAGGGTAAGAAGTGGGGAGGGTGGAGGCAGAGCCCACTGACCCAGCGCCCGCTGCGCAAGGCGGAGCCAGTCCCACATGGGGACCCTTCACCTGCGTCACAGCCTCGCCAGCCTCGGGAGCCCAGCGACCCCTGCAGCCCTGATGCCCGCAGGCACGCCAGCCAGGAGGGGCCAAAGCAGCCACCAGACTCCCAACTGAGGCAGCGGGCGGGGCTCCGGCACCTGCGCACTCGGGCCAGCGAGGGAATTTGAGGCCCGAGAGCGGGAGGCAGAGGCTGCTCACGGCGCGAAGGCCACTCCCCGCAGAGGGGCAGCTCCAGGAAGGCCCCGTGCGCTGCCCACGCTCCCCAGACACCCGCCAGCGGCCGCACTGACCGTTCCCCTCTGCTCCAGCTGCCCCTGGAGCCTCCAGGCCCGCTCCGGCCTCGCCTCCCCCTCCACAGATGCCCCCGTGGCCCTGGGCTCCGCGTCCCAGCCCCGGTGTCTGCCGCAGCCTGCCTCCCCGTGAGACGCGGGCTCCCCCGCAGGCACGGCCCGCGGCCCCTCTGCACCCCAGCGCTGGCGGCGGAGCAAACCCTGGCGAGTGGACGAGTGAGGGGAGGGGAGAATGAACCAGCGCCCCGGGAACCGAGCTGCTCCAACAGGACAGCGAAGAGTCAAGTGTCAGTCGCTAGCCTAGAAGTCCGGGCGTCCAGTGCCTTCGCTGTCACCCCCGCGCGCGCTCACGTGGCCGAGCGAGGAGGGTCCCACTGACCAGCACCCGTTCCAGCAGCAGCATGTCCTGCGGGTTCTCGGGAGGGAGGCCGGGTGCTGAGTGGAAGAGCAGAAATGGCCCGGCCGGCGGGGCTCAGCGGGCGAGCATCAACCTATGAACCAGGAGGTCAGGGTTCGATTCCCGGTCAGGGCACGTGCCCGGGTTGTGGGCTCGATCCCCAGGGTGGGGCGTGCAGGAGGCAGCTGATCCATGATTCTCATCCTTGATGTTTCTCTCTCCCTCTCCCTTCTTCTCTGAAATCAATATAAAAAAAAAAAAATTTTTTTTAAGTAGAAATTACGCTCTCACATGCACTTGCTTGTCCCGTGTCCTGCTCAGTCGGAGCCTGAAGCTTGTCCCACGGCGGATGCGGGAGTGACCCCCACCCTGGCGATGCCTCACGCTCCCCCATACAGAACGGTCCCGACTCGGCTGTCACTCAGGGTGACAGTTCACGGACGCCCTTCCCAGCAGCCCCGTGACAGCGGAGGAGTCCGTGCTTCCTCGCGGCGTGGGCTCCCGCAGAGGAAGCGATGAAATCCGCTGGGTATTTACCCAGAATCTTCCCAGCGTCCTCTACTGCCCTCCTCTCCCAGCGTTCTTGTCATTGTCATTCCAACCTCCGTCCAGGACTTCGGAGCCCAGCAGGCAACGGAGTCGCTCCCGGCTCCCGGCACGTGCCTGTGTGTGTGACGTCTCCCCGCAGGCAGCCCCGGCTCTGCGTCCGGCTCTGCGTCCGGCTCTGCGTCCCGCGGACTCGGCAACAGGCAGGACGCGCGTCCGGAGCCTCGAGGATTCTCGCCGGAGCTGAGCTTCCTTGGGATCTTCCAGGATTTCGTTTCCTCGGAGACAAAGCGAAGAAGCCAGTAACGTGGTCGCCTGATCACTCATCCTGTCCCTCGATGGCTTTCTGACGCGCAGTTAAGAGCATCAGCAACACAGCTCCGTGGCCTCGGCAGCGGCTCCTCACGGAACCAGCTGCTGCGCTGCTGCGGCCCCAGACGGGACCCCGGGGGGCGCACCCACCCAGGGCGAGATCCGGCTCCTGCCCGGCCCACCCCGTGGCCCCCACTCCCTCCCCTCACGCTGGCCCCCCGACATGAGGACACATGGGCTTTTCCCGGGTCACTGAGACAAACATAAAAGCCAAAGGCACAGACAAATAAATCCTGCCCTAAACACAGGGTTTTTAAAAACAACAACCAAGAAAGCCAGCGCTTCAAGTTCCGCATACATGTAGTGAGCCTGTCCCGTGGGATCCTGTACCGTGGGATCCTGTCCCATAGAGACCCTGTCCCGTGGGATCCTGACCCGTGGAGACCCTGTCCCGTGGGGATCCTGTCCCGTGGGGATCCTGTCCCATGGGGATCCTGTCCCGTGGGATCCTGTCCCATGGAGACTCTGTCCCGTGGGATCCTGTCCCGTAGAGACCCTGTCCCGTGGGATCCTGTCCCGTGGGATCCTGTCCCGTGGAGACCCTGTCCCGTGGGATCCTGTCCCGTGGAGACCCTGTCCCGTGGGATCCTGTCCCGTGGAGACCCTATCCCGTGGGATCCTGTCCCGTGGAGACCCTGTCCTGTGGGATCCTGTCCCGTGGAGACCCTGTCCCGTGGAGACCCTGTCCCGTGGAGACCCTGTCCCGTGGGATCCTGACCCGTGGAGACCCTGTCCCGTGGGGATCCTGTCCCATGGGATCCTGTCCCGTGGGGACCCTGTCCCGTGGGATCCTGTCCCGTGGAGACCCTGTCCCGTGGGATCCTGTCCCGTGGAGACCCTGTCCCGTGGGGATCCTGTCCCTGGAGACCCTGTCTCGTGGGATCCTGTCCCGTGGGGATCCTGTCCTGTGGGATCCTGTCCCGTGGAGACCCTGTCCCGTGGGATCCTGTCCCATGCAGACCCTGTCCCGTGGGGATCCTGTCTCGTGGAGACCCTGTCCCGTGGGATCCTGTCTCGTGGAGACGCTGTCCCGTGGGATCCTGTCTCGTGGAGACCCTGTCCCGTGGGATCCTGTCCCATGCAGACCCTGTCCCGTGGGGATCCTGTCTCGTGGGATCCTGTCTCGTGGAGACCCTGTCCCGTGGGATCCTGTCCCATGCAGACCCTGTCCCGTGGAAACCCTGTCTCGTGGAGACCCTGTCGCATGGGATCCTGCCCTGTGGAGACCCTGTCCCGTGGGGATCCTGTCCCGTGGGATCCTGTCCTGTGGGATCCTGTCCCGTGAGGACCCTATACCACAGGCACCCTGTCCCATGTCTCCTGGCAGATGTGACAACCTGGACCCCCAAGGCCAGGCCTAGTGACTGAGACCCCCCATTTCCCCACACCCCCTGCCCTGCTCCCAGCCCAGCTCTCACCTCTGGGAGGCCAGGCCGCCCTGGGGCGGGGGTGCCAGCCCAGGCCCCACCCGGGATGAGGAACCTCAGGTTCTGCCTTCCTCAGTGGGTTCAGGCCCCACCTGTCAAAACCTGCACCCCCACCCTGCACCCACCCACTCCTGCACCCCCATCCCTGCAGGCTGGCCTACCTCCCGGGGTCTGGCCGGCCCTTGGCCCAGCTGCTCCTCCCACCCAACCCTGGGACGGTCACTCTAAGACCCGGGAGAAACCAGACATAATCAGGGCTGCTGGACACGCCAGGACCTGCGCTGGTCCCCTCCCCCAGCCCAGGAACCAGCCACGTCCTGCACCACGTCCCTTCCGGGGGGACAAGCCCAGCGGCCCCCACTCAGCCTGGGAACACACCCCCCGTTACTGTGTCACACTTGCTAGCGCCAACGTGGAAGGCCGAGGAGCCCCCAGCAGAGCGGAAAGGGGGACCTGGCTTTGATGTCTGCCCTGCACCCACTCAACAGACCCCTTTGTTTTCCCAGACGCCAGCTTGAGGCTGCACACATCAGCTCTGCGATCAGACCGGACAGAGCGCGGCTGAGGGGCGGGACACCACCCCCCAGGGCAGCTGGCCGGCGTCCACCCGCCCGTCCCTCCCGCCCATGGCCAGGCTGCTTCCCTCTCCCCTCTCCTCTCTCCCTTCCGGAGAGAATCATTCATTTCCTCTCTTGAGAAAACACTCGTCCTCTCCTCTCCCCGCCCCTGCAGTTCACCTCAGGTCCCCTCTCCCCAGGTTTCCGTGAGGAGGGAGGGACCAGCGGCCGGAGGACGGGCTGGAGGACGGGCTGCGACACGGCCCCTACAGTCCGGGTCCCGTCCCGGTCACCGCAGGGAAGCCCTGGACGTGGGAAGCCGGGACCCAGTCCCCTCACGGCACGGGGATGCCAAGTCAGTTTCAGGGGACACCAGACGTCAGGCCGACCTCTCCCGGGAGGGACGCTGGTGAGGCCGGGCAGCCTCCTGCGCTCTCCTCGGCCGTGAGCCCCGCCTTCCACGAAGCAGGGGTGTCCCAGCCGCCCGCTGGGCCCAGACACCCCAATTCCAGCCCGGCCGCACCTCTCGGAGCCACCAGGCCACGGGCTCCCCACCGCTGCGTCCACCGGGACTCGTTCTCAGGGCAGGGGCAGGGGTCAGGGGTGGGGTACAGGAGTGGGGGTGCAGGAGTCAGGAGGCAGCGACTCCATTCAGCAGACAGGGCTGAGGCCAGGGCCCCGTGCCCAGCCCGGTCTTTCTGGAACAAAGTGGGCCTGGAGGGCAGGATGTGGGCGTGGCGGTACCTGACACTGACCCCAAACCAGGCTCAGAGAGCCCCTCCCGATGGTGCCAGCCCCGCCGGCCAGCATGGGCGCAGGGCGTCCCAGCTCCTCCCCCGAGTTAACAGTCTTTGAGAGCGAGCGCACTGGCGGGAGGCGTGGCCCTGGGCGCTGCTGGGACCGTCCCACCAGGAGCAGAAATGTGGGGGGAGGGGCAGCCCCAGGAGACGGGCTCTTCCGAGGCAGGTCTAGTGTCTGCAGGTGGCACAGGTGGGGGACACTCACCAGAGAGGCAGCCCTGGTCTCCTGGCTGCTGGCTCCACCCCGGGCAGCACCTGAGCACGGGCTGGGCCTCCATGGCGTACACCTGCCTGTAGGCCGTGTAGTAGACGGTTCTAGAGAAGAAGGGAGGGGGGACGCCCTGGTGCATCTCAGCCACTGCGTCCGGCTCTCACCACCCCCCTCCCCCCTCCCCCCACACACACACTACAGAGTCTCGATGCCCATCTCACAGCGGAGCGGGTGGGAGGCCCGGGTCCGAGGCCGGCCCGGGGTACACGCCACAGCGCTCGGCCAGGATGGCCGACTCCCCTCCCCCACGGCAGCCCCGGCTCCAGCTGGTGTCAGGCGCCTGGAGCTCAGCTGAGGAGCAAGACCGGCTTCCAAAATGGCCCCCGGGGGCCAGATGCCGGTGCTGGGCGGGCCGTGAATGATGGTGCCCATCCGGCCCCAGGCTCTCGTCCCACTGGCTCACCAAGGGGCTGGACAGCAGACTGTCCTGGAGCGTCCATGGGGGGGTCCGTCGCCACCCAAGGAGGGTGGTGCTGAGCGGGGACACGGGGTTGCCAGGAGGAGCTGCCCAGGTAACAGGAGGACTGAGCGTGCTCAGTGCACGGCGCCGGGGGCAGAGGGGAGCAGGCAGAGGGCTCACGGGGTGGGGGCAGCCTGGAGGCCGGAGTGGCCTCGGTCCCTGCTGGTTCCTGCTCAGATGGGGTAGGTGTGGCCCTCACAAAGGATGAGGCGCTGGGAGGGGCTCCAGGCTGGGCCCCTGGAAGCCCAGCCACCCAGGCAGCCTGCCCGGCCCAGCCCCGCCCAGTCTCTCCACCATCCACAGCCCCGGGGGCGGGGCATCTTGGTGGAACAGCCAGCGGGGGGCCACCCCCAGCCCAGGACTCCCCCTGGGCCATAAACCTGGAGCAGAGGCAGGGGGCGGAGGGGGAAAGGGGGGGCCTGGCCCACAGCACCCCACTCAGCTGCACCCTGCACCCCAGGGTCCCAGATCCTAACTCCTCAGCTGGGCCTCAGGCGTTGGGAGGGTCTCTGCCCACCCAGAAACCCCCTTCCTGCTTCTCCAGAGGATGGGGTGCCTCTGGGGGTCACCTGGACGCCACCCTGACTCCCCTCCCCCCAAAACCTCCCCCTCACCTGCTGACACAAGACAGAGGCTCACTGCCCCTGCCCACCCGTCTCTTACTGCTGTGCTGGCTGAGCAGTACCCCGAGTCCAGCCCCCCTAGAACCTGGGATGTGACCTCATCTGGAGACAGGGCCTTGGCAGGTGTCACCAAGCCCAGGTGAAGCCACATGGGCCTAGGGTGGCCCTGGGTCCCACGACCAGGATCCGCACAAGGAGAGGGAAGTGGGCACAGAGCAGAGGCCACATGATGCAGCCCCCAGCCCCGGCGCTCGGCTGATGGCCATGGTCACGGGAGCTGGAGAGGCCTGACAAGACGCCCGTCCAGCCTCCAGAGGGACCACCGCCCACCCCATCACGGGGCTTCCGGCTGCAGGTCCAAGTGCCCTGTGGTTTCAGCAGCCCATGCATCACCACCTGTTACAGCAGCGGCAGCAACGGACACGCCGTGCCCAGCACTCAGCGGAGAGGCAGCCCTGGCGGCAAGGGCCTGGGTCTATGACGACCACGCTGGCACCGGGTGGGGGGCAGGAGGGACAGGATGGAGGCAGGGAGGACGAGACAGTGGAGGTACCAGGGAGGAAGGGACTGGCCGGCCACCCTGCGGCCCTCGGCCCTGACCCCTCCCGGCTCCCACCGCGTCGTCGGCAGGAAGGTGACCAGCCAACAGCCGCCGAGGTCAAGGGCCCTTGAGCCAGGAGCGGCCGGAGGGGCTGGGCTGCTGTGTCTCCAGGAAACGAAACCGGCTCCGGGGGTGCTGGGCTCGCCCTCGGCAGCCTGGGAGCCTGGGAGCCGGTGGCCCCGGGAGGCTGGGACCCAGCAAACAATCAGGGCGGCTTCCGGGAAGCGGGCTGGGCGCTGCTCACGGCGGCGGGGGGCAGGAGGCGGGGGCTCTGCACGTCCCGCCTGGAGCACAGGAACCGCCTGCACCTGCGCCTGCGGGGACCCCGCCGCGGGACAGTGTTTGGCAGAGGAGTGTCTGGGCCCTTCCGTCTAAATATTTATCCCTCTCCCGGCTACGTGCAGGGCCTGGCGTCGCCGGGAAGCCCAGCTGACCGCCCATCTGCCACCCTCCCCGACGGCCCCTGGAGACAGGCGGTCAGCCGGCAGCCCTGGGGACCCCTCACTCCCTGCAGTGGACCCCTCACTCCCTGCAGCTCACAGGGACCCTCACGGGCTCCAGCCACCACCAGGGAGCTGGTCCGCAGAGGCCACTGTCACAGGAGGAGGGGACGCCAGGCTGGTGCGGTCCTCCCCCTACAGCCACCCGGACCCCTGGCCACAGCGCAGCAGCGTCTGTGCAAGGGCCTGTGGCAAAGGCCTGCGGCCGGCCGCCATGTGGGCTGTGGCCCAAGCACCCCCTTCCCCCTCCCTCCCTCCCTCCCTCCCTCTCTCCCTTCCTTCTTTCCTTCCTTCCTTCCTGCACCCCCACCGAGGGGGACAGCCCTTTCCTGGCCTGGGCTCCTGGGCCTGGGCGGCCTGTGTGGGCTGCGGTTCGTCGGGGAAGCGCTTCTGATGCGCTGGACACGCATGGAGGAGGCGGCCTGGCCACTGGTCTGGGCCGATGGGGTGAAGGGGGGGCAGGGGGCTCAGGGGCTTCCCAGGGACCCCGAGCCCCTATGGGGTCCCGAAGAATGCACGGGGGTGGGGGGGGGGGTGAGCCGCCAGCAGCAGCAGCAGCCTCCCCGGGGCGGCCACAGCCTCGGCCGCTGGAGGGACGTCTGGCCGAGGCCTGTGCAGAGCCTCCTGCTGCTTCCAGGATGGGGCCCACTCCCCACGCATTGTGGGGGAGGGTGTGCGCCGGTGTGACCTCATCCTGTTCTGTAAACACGCGCCCCCTGCACACACACCGCGCCCCCTGCACACACACCGCACCCCCTGCACACGCACCGCACCCCCTGCACACACACCGCACCCCCTGCACACACACCGCACCCCCAGCACACACACCGCGCCCCCTGCACACACACCACACCCCCTGCACACGCACCGCGCCCCCTGCACACGCACCGCACCCCCTGCACGCGCACCGCACCCCCTGCACGCGCACCGCGCCCCCAGCACACGCACCGTGCCCCCTGCACGCGCACCGTGCCCCCTGCACGCGCACCGCGCCCCCTGCACACGCACCACGCCCCCAGCACACACACTGCACCCCCTGCACACACACGGCACCCCCTGCACGCGCACCGCGCCCCCTGCACGCGTACTGCGCCACCTGCACACGCACAGAGGTGGGTCTGGAACAGGTGAGGGCCCAGGGCTCCTCGGGCATGTCCCTCGTGGCGGGGCACCCCATGCTGTAGGGTGTCTAGCAGCACCCCTGCCTCTACCTGCGGGCGACGGCAGCCGTGTCCTCCCAGCTGCAGTCACCACAGACACTGTCCCCAGCCCATCCCAGGTCCCGGGAGGGAGGGGGCCCAGTCGCCTGCCCTCTGAACACTGAGGAGCTTAATGGATCCCTCACCTCTCCTCTGAACCTACAGCAGATCGACATTTAAATGAGAGCTGCACCCCTCCCCAGGCTGCGGGCAGGTGCCCCAGAGCCCCTGGCACAGCAGGTGCATGGACGACTCCCCCAAACCTCCTGAGAGGCTGGGCATCAAAACATTCAGTGCCACCTTCCCCCACCGGCCCAGCAGCGCCAGCGTCCAGGCGGGAGTTGCCCAAGCGGAGCCACCCTCCCGACCCCCCCACACCCCCCCAGCTCTGCGATGGGCCCAGCGGGCTGCGTGCAGAGGAGAGGTGCGCAGAGGCACTCCCTCCCCACGTTTGGTTTTGAAATAAAATCTTGAGCAACAGAAGATTTCACACGGGCTCGGGCGCAAGGCCAGGGGTCGGGCTCCAGCGGGAACTCACAGGCTGGGCCCAGCTTCCACCTCTCACGTGGCCAGCACCCCCCACAGGGTCCCCGTCTCCCCAGGGGGTTCTCCCCCACAGGGTCCCCTCCCTCCTGCCAGGTCCCCATCCCCACCCGCCCACAGAGGTCCTAGGGGCCGCCCAGCAGGACAGCTGTGCTCCAGCCTCAGCCCCTGGGGGGTGGGAAGCCTTGGCCTCAGGCAGACGAGGGGCTTGGGGGGGCACAGGTGGCCCCGACGCCAGGACCATCCCCGGCCCGGCCGCCCTGCTCCTGACGTGCGCACAGCCCCGCTCCCACCCGGGACCCACATACCTGCGCTTGTGGCTCACACACCAGGCCTGGCGCCCGCAGCCCGGCTTCCACACGGGCACCGCGCGGCTGAAGGCCCGCACGCAGGGTTGGCGGCGGCCCACCAGGGTCAGCTCCTGCTCGGCACACACGTGGGGCCTGGGACAGAGGACAGGGGTCAGCGGCTCTGCCCCTTCCCGAAAGCCATCTGGCCTCATTGCCACCCTCCACCCCACAGCTGTCTGCTGGCCGCCGGGTCCAGCCTCCCTGACCTAAGACCAGTCCCCCATCCCCCCACACACACACGTATTCACAAGCTCTCACGCACACGTGTGCACTCACAAGTACACACACGAGCGCACATGCACACGTGTGCGCGCACATGCACATGCATGCACACATGTGTTCACACCCTTGCCCTCTGGTTCCAGGTGGGTTTGGCCAATGGGAGGACCAGCAGGATATGGAGGGCGAGGGGGGACCGCCGGGGAGAAAGATGCTGGGGCTCTTGTCTTTCCCAGGTTTGGGGGGCTGAGCCTCACCCGGGCCCAGCACCCTTGGGCAGCTCTCTGGGTTCCATGCCCTTCACCCCGGGGCCGAGTCGCCCTCACACAGCTGCCCAGCAACGCCAGCAGCCTCTCCTGGGAACTGGTCAGAAATGTGCGCACGCACACACACACACACACACACACACATGCACACACACGCACATGCGCACACACACGCACACTCACAAACACTCACTCACACACACACACACACACACGCACACGCAGTCCCCCCGGGATCAGCACTCAGACCCCCCAGCCCCGCCCGCGGCCACAGCAGGGCCTCCGGGCTCGGATGCAGCCTGGCCTTTGAGAATTGCCGGTCCAGGTGCCTGGGTTTGGGTCTCAGCCCCCATTCCCACCAGCACTGGGCCTCCCTGCGTTCAGCCCCACCCCCAGCGGGAGGACGCGGACTGAGCACTGGGGCACGCCCAGACTGCGGGTCAGTGGTCTGGCCACTGGGCCAGGGGGAGGAGAATGCCCCATAGGGTGGGGCAGGAATCAGGGGAGCGGGGTGCTGCTCTCAGAAGGGCCGCCCCTTCCCAGCCCCCAGCCCCCCTCCAACCTCAGCCACATGGGCGGCTGCTGGTCAGGAAGACGACCTGCCTCAGAAGCACAAGTTAGCAGCTTCCCGTCTGGGGGGTGGAGGAAGTGGGGAGGGGGCAAGGCGGAGGGAGCAGACAGGACCCTCTGCCCACCCAGGTCAGGGGGAGGGGCAGCTGGCAGTCAGGCCCTGCTGCCACCTGGGGCGGGGAAGGCATCCGGGCCAGCCCTGAGCCCAGCTCTGTGAAGGGCGCCTCCTCCAGGAGAAGGGGCTCCCAGGGCTGGGGGCCTTCACCCAGAGTCAGAGGGGAGGGTGGGCCGAGCTCTGTCCCTCTGGGGGGTGGTCCAGGCCCCAAGACCCACGATGAAGGCACCAGAGGCAGGAGGTATGGATGGGGAACCAGGCAGCCAGCTCTCGCAGCTGGACACCCCGAGGGAGGGAGGGCGGCTGAGCTGTGAGAAGCGTCTCCATCATGTCTGTTTCCACCGGCTTGGGTTTGGGCCCTGAACCTGCACCCCCAGCCTGGCTGCAGCCCAGGGGGGAAGCGCTGGGGTGGGCGGGCCCAGTGGCAGCCCTGGGACCACGTGGGTCTGAGAGGGTCATGGCAAGAGCCACTTGCAAGACCAGACTTAAGCTTGCCCTTCCGCCGGGGGCCCTTCCCGCCGGGGGCAGGGGGTCAATCTAACCAGCTGCCTGGCCGTGTTCCCAGCACGGCTGCCGAGGGGACCCCAGCCCCCAGGGAACAGATGTCTCCTCTGAGCCCTGCTCCCACCGCGGCCAGAGGGCCAGCGTGTGGGGACACCGTCTCCCGGTCCCCTGACCTGCTCCCGTCACCTGGTCGGCAGGAGCCACAGCACCGGCCACGTAGCTCCACAGGCCCACAGGCCCCCTGACACTACCTCCCCCGTGGGTCCCCCAAAGGCCCCCACGGAGGGTCAGGACCATGTGCAGGTCAGGATGGCAGCGGGCAGCACCTCCGAGGACAAGGCACTTCCTGGGACCTTGCAGCCCCTCCTCTGCCCCTCTGGCAGCTCCAGCAGCTCCCCTGCCCTCCTCTTGCCCCCCCACCTTCCGCTCAGCAGCAGCCTCGACCTGGAAACCTCTGGGAGGAGCAGGGCGCTTTCCCCCTTCAGCCGCCAGCCACGCCCAATGCAATCCCACTGCACAGCCCACAGCGACCCACCACAACCAACCACAACCCACTGCAGGTCCCACTGCAAGCCCCACCTCCACCCACTGCATGTCCCACCGCAGGTCCCACCTCCACCCACTGCAGGTCCCACCGCAGGTCCCACCTCCACCCACCGCAATCCACCTCACCCACTGCAGGTCCCACTGCAGGCCCCACCTCCACCCACTGCAGGTCCCACCGCAGGTCCCACCTCCACCCACTGCATGTCCCACCGCAGGTCCCACCTCCACCCACTGCAGGTCCCACCGCAGGTCCCACCTCCACCCACTGCAGGTCCCACCGCAGGTCCCACCTCCACCCACTGCAGGTCCCACCGCAGGTCCCACCTCCACCCACTGCATGTCCCACCGCAGGTCCCACCTCCACCCACTGCAGGTCCCACCGCAGGTCCACCTCCACCCACTGCAGGTCCCACCGCAGGTCCCACCTCCACCCACTGCATGTCCCACCGCAGGTCCCACCTCCACCCACTGCAGGTCCCACCGCAGGTCCCACCTCCACCCACTGCATGTCCCACCGCAGGTCCCACCTCCACCCACTGCAGGTCCCACCGCAGGTCCCACCTCCACCCACTGCAGGTCCCACCGCAGGTCCCACCTCCACCCACTGCAGGTCCCACCGCAGGTCCCACCTCCACCCACTGCAGGTCCCACCGCAGGTCCCACCTCCACCCACTGCATGTCCCACCGCAGGTCCCACCTCCACCCACTGCAGGTCCCACCGCAGGTCCCACCTCCACCCACTGCAGGTCCCACCGCAGGTCCCACCTCCACCCACTGCATGTCCCACTGCAGGTCCCACTGCAGGTCCCACCTCCACCCACTGCAGGTCCCACCGCAGGTCCCACCTCCACCCACTGCAGGTCCCACCGCAGGTCCCACCTCCACCCACTGCAGGTCCCACCGCAGGTCCCACCTCCACCCACTGCAGGTCCCACCGCAGGCCCCACCTCCACCACTGCAGGTCCCACCGCAGGTCCCACCTCCACCCACTGCAGGTCCCACCGCAGGTCCCACCTCCACCCACTGCATGTCCCACCGCAGGCCCCACCTCCACCCACTGCATGTCCCACCGCAGGTCCCACCTCCACCCACTGCATGTCCCACCGCAGGTCCCACCTCCACCCACTGCAGGTCCCACCGCAGGTCCCACCTCCACCCACTGCAGGTCCCACCGCAGGTCCCACCTCCACCCACTGCAGGTCCCACCGCAGGTCCCACCTCCACCCACTGCAGGTCCCACCGCAGGTCCCACCTCCACCCACTGCAGGTCCCACCGCAGGTCCCACCTCCACCCACTGCAGGTCCCACCGCAGGTCCCACCTCCACCCACTGCAGGTCCCACCGCAGGTCCCACCTCCACCCACCGCAATCCACCTCACCCACTGCAGGTCCCACTGCAGGTCCCACCTCCACCCACCGCAATCCACCTCACCCACTGCAGGTCCCACTGCAGGTCCCACCTCCACCCACCGCAATCCACCTCCACCCACTGCAGGTCCCACCACAGGTCCCACCTCCACCCACTGCAGGTCCCACCGCAGGTCCCACCTCCACCCACTGCAGGTCCCACCGCAGGTCCCACCTCCACCCACTGCAGGTCCCACCGCAGGTCCCACCTCCACCCACTGCAGGTCCCACCGCAGGTCCCACCTCCACCCACTGCAGGTCCCACCGCAGGTCCCACCTCCACCCACTGCATGTCCCACCGCAGGTCCCACCTCCACCCACCGCAATCCACCTCCACCCACTGCAGGTCCCACCGCAGGTCCCACCTCCACCCACTGCAGGTCCCACCGCAATCCACCTCCACCCACTGCAGGTCCCACCGCAGGTCCCACCTCCACCCACCGCAATCCACCTCCACCCACTGCAGGTCCCACCGCAGGTCCCACCTCCACCCACTGCAGGTCCCACCGCAATCCACCTCCACCCACTGCAGGTCCCACCGCAGGTCCCACCTCCACCCACTGCATGTCCCACCGCAGGTCCCACCTCCACCCACCGCAATCCACCTCCACCCACTGCAGGTCCCACCGCAGGTCCCACCTCCACCCACCGCAATCCACCTCCACCCACTGCAGGTCCCACCGCAGGTCCCACCTCCACCCACCGCAATCCACCTCCACCCACTGCATGTCCCACCGCAGGTCCCACCTCCACCCACCGCAATCCACCTCCACCCACTGCAGGTCCCACCGCAGGTCCCACCTCCACCCACTGCAGGTCCCACCGCAGGTCCCACCTCCACCCACTGCCAGTCAGACAAGTTAGGCACTTCAAAGACAGAGGGCCACGGGAGGTGGGCTCAGAGGTACCACAGAACTCACCACGCACAGGGCAGGCTGAACAGTGGCCCACGTGGCTAAGCTCCAGGTGGGGGCAGGGGAGGGGGGCCCCAGGAGGAGCCCAGGCCCTAGGGGAGCAGGTGACGTCACAACACATCCCCTGGGGCTCAGGAAAGAGGCCCAGGAAGGGCAGCCTGGTCTCCACACCTGGCGCGAGGGCCCTCTGAGCCTGCCCACCCGGCCGCCCCCAGGCTCCCCTCCAACACACTGACTCCCCTGGGGTCGCAGGAGGCAGGAATGTCCGGCAGAAGTCACGTGCAGCCGGGACTGGGGCTGCTCACATTTCTGGACGCAAAGGCCCCCACCCCAGGGGCTGTGCCCCCCGGAGCAAACCCAGCCCCAGGGCAGGGGGCGGGGGCGTGGACTCGCCCTGCCCGCTCCACCTGCACGCGTGTCCAGTGGGTCCTGCGTGGCCAGGTGCACCGGCTCCTCGGGGAGGTGCTGGGCCGGGGCCCTCCCCAGGCCTGGGCCGCTCGCCCGCCCCTCCGTGGCCCCCAGCAGCCTTCCCGAGCTGGGCAGCCCCCCGCCCCCGCGGGAGCGAGCGCGGGGCTGGGGCGGCCAGCGGGCTCCCCGCTTCCCTCCACCGCGGCAGCAGGACCGCCCAGCTGCGGAGAGCCCGCTGGCCCGCGCGGAGTCGGCTTTCAGGACTCAGGCGGCTCGCGGCTGCCCGACCCGCGCTTCCGGCCCCTCTGCTGGATTCCTGCGGGTCCCTCGGCCCCAGAGCGCACGTGCCTAACACACAACCGAGTGTGTGCGGCCCCGTCTGGGCGCAGCCCGCCCCGGCCCCCGCCCCGGGAGGCGGCTCTGGAAGGAAGTGAAGCTGGCGGCTTCCTCTGCCCCCTCCACGCCGGACCCCGCCTGGCCGGGACCCAGGCTCCCTCACCTCGGGGCATCCGCCTCAGCGTGCAGCCCCCTTCGCAGAGGGAAGGGAGGCGAGGGAGGGGGAGAGGCCGGGGAAGGGCCCCAGCCCGGAACCTCGTCTCCCCTGCCCTCCCCTCCCCTCCCCAGCTACGGCCAAGAGCCCACTGCTCAGGGCCCCCGGACAAAGCCGCCCGGGCCCGGTCTCCGGGCGTCGCGCCCAGCACCCCCGTCCCCCCACTCACATGCTGGGCTGCAGGCGGAGCGGGGCGCCCCCGGGCACGACGGTGAGCAGCAGCGCCAGGGCCAGCGCGCGTCTGGCCGCCCTCGCCTCCGGAAAAGCAGGCATCGCGCCCGCGGCCCCGCGCCGTGTCCCTCCTCCGGGCCCAGCTCACGGACGGCCCCGGCGCGCCCTCCGAGCCGCCTCCTCGCGCGCCATGGCCCAGCGGGGCCGGGGGGACCAGGAGCGCGGCCGCAGGTGCCCGCGCCGGACCCGCGAGCCCGAGGTCGCTGCAGGTGCGGGGTTCGGGTTCCGCCCGCGCCCGGGGCAGCGGAGACCGCGCGCCAGGAGACACCGCGCGCAGTGAGCCCCGTGCGCGCCCAGCCCGCGCGGCCAGCCGGCCCGCCTTCGCCCCGCCCCCGGCTGGACCCCAGACCCGACCCCGCCCACAGCCGGTCCCACGGCCCCGCCCCCCGCCCACGGCCACGCCCCCAGCGCCCGGCCGCCGGGGCCCCGCCCCGCCCACAGCCCCGCCCACAGCCCCGCTCGGGTCCTCGCCAGACCCCGGCCGGGCCCGCGCAGTCCCTTCGAGCTCCCCGCGCTCCTCGGCCTCAAAGCGCCAGGTCCCGCGGGATCCAAGTGACCAACGCCCGTGGGGGCGCCCCTCACCCGGGCAAAGGCTGCTCTCCGCGGAACCCGGACCCCAGACTCCGTCCTCGGGGCAGCCCTCAGCCCTCCTGCCCTCCTAAGTCCCAGGGGAACGGCCTTGGTTCTCCTGCCCCTGATGCTCCATGCACCGTCACCCTGCGCACCCATCCCCTCGGTGGCCTGTGGCCTGGGATGCTGGGCGCCCTGCTCCCCAGGAGGTGCAGGCAGGACTCTGTTGTGGTTCATTCTCCCCCGAGGACATTTTTCCATTGATTTTTAGAGAGAGTGGGAGAGGGAGAGAGAAACATCCATGTGAGAGACACATCCATAGGTTGTCTCCACCATGCACCCCGACCAGGGCAGGGGAACCTGCAACCCAGGTCCGTGCCCTTGACCAGAATCGAACCAGGACCCTCAGTCCCCTGGCCGACGCTCTATCCATTGAGCCAAACCAGCTAGAGCTTTTTTTTTTTTTTTTTAAATATATTTTACTGATTTTTTACAGAGCGGAAGGGAGAGAGATAGTTAGAAACATCGATGAGAGAGAAGCATCGATCAGCTGCCTCCTGCACACTCCCTACTGGAGATGTGCCCGCAACCAAGGTACGTGCCCTTGACCGGAATCGAACCTGGGACCTTTCAGTCCGCAGGCCGATGCTCTATCCACTGAGCCAAACCGGTTACGGCTAGAGCGCTTTTTAAAAAATATTGTTTTATTGATTTCAGAGAGGAAGTGAGAAGGAGAAAGAAATAGAAACATCAGTGATGAGAGAGAATCATTGATTGGCTGCCTCCTGCACGCCCCCTACTGGGGATCGCCCTGACATGAGCCCTGACCAGGAATCGAACCATGACCTCCTGGTTCATAGGTCATCGCTCTACCCCTGAGCCTCCTGCCGAGCCAGGACAACTTGAAACCCCTTTGGGTTTGGGAATCACATGCTCCGGGGGAGGGCCAGGCGCGCCCTGGGCCCTGGGGGGGGGGGGGGACAGTCCCCTCGGAAGGTTTGAGAGCAGAGCGGAGGGACGCGCAGTCTGGTGGGTCCCGATGGGTGGCCAGGAGCTGGGCGCCCCATTAGTCACAAGCAGTTGCAGGGAGCCCGAGCCACCCCTTCCACACGCCCCCACGGCCAGGCCCCGCACGGAGCGGGCACAGGGGCAGCCTCCCTCGCTGCCCAGCGGGCAGGGCGCTCCTCCCCCTCCTCCCCAGGTGCCCACGTGACCTGCAGGCTCCAGAACCCCACCCTCATACGGACTGGAGCCCCGGGCTGGGCGGGGCTGAGGAGGGGGCCCCAGCTGTGCAGAGGCAGTGGAGGTACAGCGCACCCCATATCTGAGCGCTCCTCACCGCGGGGGAGCTGTCAGGGAGCGGCTGTCACCTGCTGTACAGACAGGAGCCGGAGGTCAGGAGGGGACAACACCCCCAAGTCGCCCTGTGGGGACTGAGCACGGCTCTGGCCCTGGGGACCTTCACTCAACCCCCTACTCTGCTGCCTCTCACTCTAAGAGACTCACTAACGCGGTGGGGGAGGGGGCCTCTGTCGGCTCCGGCTGCCCACAAAAAGCGTCGGACAGTGGCTGGCAGCCGGATCTGACCTGGTGAGGGCTCTTCCCGGCTCTCAGACGGCAACCTTCTTGCTGTGCTCACGTGGCGGAGAGACGGACAGAGAGACAGACACAGACAGACAGCGCCTGGGGTCTCTTCCTCCTCTTGCCTGGCCCCAGCCCTGGAGGGTCAGGCCTCACCCTGATGACCTCGTTTAACCTTAATCCCCTCCTTAAGGCCCCGTCCCCAATACAGTCACGTTGGGATTCAGGGCTTCAACACGTGGATTTGGGGGGACACAGCTCCAGCCACAGATGTCACTGTCACTGAACCCCAGATGCAGGTTAGCATCCTGCTCGTTGATGCTCCAAGCGTGACCTCGTGTGACCGCCCTGCGGGGTCCCGCTCCTTGGCCCCTGGCTGGGAGCGCAGGGCAGGGCCAGCCCACAGCGGGGCTCCAGGCGCACCCTCTCCTGGGCTTCCTGCCACCTCATCTTCCGAGAAACTGCCCGGAGGAAGCCTCAAGGGCCTTGCCTCAGCGCCCGCTTGACCGGTGCACCCAGACGTGTGAGCCCCCTCCCCACCCCGCCCCTGCCAGAAGGCTTACCCCTCCCCTCCAGCGCTTAGATGGCACCAGGGAGCACCCCCCATTGCGCCACTTTCCCCACAGATCATGCCGCTCGTTCTTGCCCATCGTGCGTCCAAGTGGACGCTGGAGTCCCTTTGTCTGGTTCCTTCAAAGTTGCGCTGGACCTTTTGCTGCAATTGTGCTGAACACTCATTAATTCCTGAAGAAATGGCCACTTCCCAAGAACCCAGCTTTGAGAAGGTCCAGACTGGGGGCGGGAAGCTGCTCTGGGGCGCAGCCCGAGCTGGGGCGCACGCCCGGGTGTAGGATGGAGGAATGGAAGCCTCGGGTCCCCATCTGCACCCGCCCAGCTTCCGTAGACCCCAGGCTTCAGACACCCTAGGAGTCAAGGCTGGGCTCGGGCGGGTGCTGGCCCACCTCAGGTCTCCAGCCCCAGCCCCAGCCCCAACCCCCAGCCCGGAAGCCGTTAGCCAAACCGTAGCAAGAGGTCCCATTGCACCATGGGATTCGCTGACTCGACTTGTAAGAACAGACGTGGTTTCGTTTGTGGGGTGTGGGACACCAGGTAGAAGGGTGCAAGCGACTAACAGACACCTCATTTAAAATGGAGGTGAGGGGCCAGGAGAGTCCTCTCCCACCACCGCTCTGTGCCAATTACACACCCGCAGGAGGAGAGACATAACCTGCATTCCTAACAGGAAGTGTCGCTGCTACCCCAGCCGGAGGAAGATTTTCTCCTTGCCCAGCAACAAGCTCAGCCAATGAGAAGCATGGGCGCCTGAACTCTCAGGTTCCCGGAAAGCAGTCTCCCTGCCTTCTCCTTCCCAGGAAAGGAGCATTCCTCCTCCCCTTTGCTTGCTGGGCTTGCCTATCGTTGTTGCTACAGTGTGCTTGACCTGAATAGCAGTTCTCTGCTATTCCTGAAAAAAAATAAAAAATAAAAAATTTGCAGGTAAAAATAACTGGCTGCGTCATTTTTATGGTCAACATTACGCTCTGCACTCAGGCCAGAGAGCCCTGAGCAGCAGGGCCACACATGGAAGCCAGAAGTTCGCAGCGGCCTGGCCTGCTGCCGCTACACAGCTCCCTCCCCTGCCCCCTCGCCACCCTGTGGCCTGCCTGCCCTGGGCGGAAGGAGGCCCCTGGCCTGCCCGCTGCAGCGCCCAGGTGGCCACGCAGGGGTCACGGAGTCGGTGGTTTGGAGCTCACGCAGGCAGGCGTGCGGAGGGGACGTTTCCCTTCACATCTGCAAACCGCCGCCCCAGCGAGCGTGGAAGCATATTTAAAAGACACGGCTGTTCAGTGTTTCCCTCTCACCCCGGGGAATGATAAAAATAGCCTGGGCCGGGGAAACGTATGTGTGTGTGTGTGGGGGGGGGGGGGACCACAGGCAGTGTGGCTGGTCGTTTCCAAAGCCTCCTGCTCCGCCCTGAGGTCCTAACCCCCCTCCACCCCCCGAGCGGAGAGGGGGTCCCACAGCGAGGTCAGCACAGCCCCTGCATCTGCCTGAGCTGAGCCGCGGGCCATGCTAACCTGGTCTCCTCTGGATTTTCACTCCTGACGAGGGCAGGCGAGTTAATTAACGAGGCGTTTCCAGGTCAGGGCCTCGCATGCAGAGCGGCCCCAGCAGCCGTCTGCTCTGTCCAGATAGCGAGGGAGCCTCCGCCAGCTTCCGCGGACAGCCCCACAGGAGGTGACCGCGTGGCCAGCACCGTCCTGGCTGAGACACAGCGGGAGGGGACCTGGGCGCGCCATCCGGCCCCTGGCCAACCTCAGCAGCAGCCCTCGCCCGAGAGCCCGCCCCCTGGTTCCTGGAGGAGGGAGGGGCTGCCTGCCATGCAGCTTCTCTGGAAGGTGAGCTCCGCCCGCAGACCCTGCACAGGAGTAACCTCCCGGCTGCACGTGAACCGCCAACCTGGGAGCCGCCGCCTGGCACCCGGGCACCCGGGCACCCGGCTCCCCGAGCACGCGGCGCCCGGCGGCTCTGAGGTCTCACTTGGGGCTCCTGTGTGGACTCCCCCGCGCCCACGACCCGCTTCCATCAGAGACGGATGTCAGAGGCGGGACCCACCGACCCTGAGAAATGCGAACACCTGGAAGAAGAGAGAAGGCGCACACCTGCCGCTGAGACTTCATCCCGCTCTGAGGTTCGCCCAGCACCGGCCGGTGCTCCGCCCGCGGGGCGACGCTGCCACCTGCCGGCCGGCGTGGGAACAGCCTTTCAAAAGCCCCAGGAAAGAAGCACCAAAGACAGGGGCCCGGCCGGTGTGGGGCGCGGCTCCCGAGGTTGGGCATCGTCCTGTGCACCGAGAGGGTGCTGGCTGGGCTCCAGGTCAGAGCGCATGCTGGGCCCCGTGGCGGGGCGTGAGGCCGTTTTCTTGGGTCAGTGGGCGTCATACTGGGGGTCACACTGCCGCACCTGCGTTGGGAGCAGAGACCTGTTTGCCGCGCACCTGGCACTTCGAGGCTCAGCAACAGCGTGAAGAACAGTGGACGCTGAGATGGCGCTGCATGTGGGCCAGGCAGAGTGCTAAGCGCGTCATAGGCATGAACTCATGTAACCCTCCCAGCACCCGTTAGTAGGAACGAGTATTAACCCCATGCACCAGAAAA